GAGTGGTGAGAAGAGTAAGGATCTGCCTCACAAGGGCACAAATCTGTGGAATGGGACGGGGGCCTCAAATGGCAAAGTGTCGGCAGAACAACTCTGTATCCATCTGGCACCAGTCAATTCTGATGTTAAATTGGGCCAGATAAGTTGCTGCCTTGGCCGACATGGACTTGTGGTAGTCTTAGAAAGAGGACCCCTCGTACTTGATGCCTAGATCCACCACTTTGTGCATGTATAGATCTAGTTCCTCCCTCCTATGTGGATACACAGAACGGATTACATCGCTATATATCCCGAAAGCAATTATGAATTGCGGGATAGAATTTCTTGTTGAGTCGTGGGTCTCTTGTTTTTTTTATACCACAGAAATGTCCCCATAGTTTTAGACTCTGTTTTCTAAAACATCCTGCGAGGTGATAAGGAGGGAAACTCCTTCCCTTCCAGTATTTCTTTTTTTAAAGGATGCCGGGACAGAATGAGCCGGTGAAACATATGGGGTAGTGGTGGCGGTGGAGGGGGTGCAACTCAGCAGGTTAGGATTTACCACGGGAGGACCTGAAGGGCCTGGTAGGTCACCTGGAGTTGCAATGGCTCATTCCACTTTAGCCAGTCTATTATTCAGTGTCTGGAAGTTGGCCAATATGGCTGTCAGAGTTTCCTGAGTAGCTTCAGAGGTGCTGGTAGACGGCCCTTGCGAGCTTGTGCAAAGCCTGGGTGTGGCAAACCCTGCCACTTGGACTAATTATTCTGTGCGAATGGGTGCTAAACTAAGTGAATAACTGCACGAACAGACTTTAATGTTATTTTGCTGTCTTTTATGCGAATGCCCGAAACTACCGAACGGGAGACCACCCTGGGGTGGTCGTGTGTTTCCAATTATCTGAACGATACAATGTTGCAAAGGGAATCAAGTACCTGTATGTGTGGCCGCCATTTCACCTACCGAACACGTGGCGGCGGCCATCTTACGCACGAACAGCGGTACTTGGTCATCGAACGCCTGGAACTCAAACCGGGCATTCAACTAACCAAGTGCCGCTACGACCTCCAGCATGCTCCGACAGCACGAATTAAACACACGAACGCCCCAGCGTTCGGTAGATAGAATCCCCTAAATGAGGGGATTCATACGAATGCTATCAGTCGCATGGATGGCTGAGCTGTAAGGGATTTTTCACTCACTAAAATAGAGCGACCGCATGGCCAGAATTCATGGAACTGTCTTCGGCTACTGAGTCCCTGCGGTCGGTCAAATCTTTAACTGCCTGTAACTCCCGAACCCCTGGTCCGATCTGGGTGAATTTCGAGTATGTTGCTCACCCAGATCAGACCTACCAGGGGACCCCTTATGTACCCCCTGTATTTAGGGGACATCCAGAAAGTGGGGAAAACTCTGTCCCCATTAATCTGTTTAAGTGCTAATCTAAGGGGAGGAGAGGGATGGGAGGTGACCGTATTCTGATTGGCTACTGTAATAATTATGAAAGTTACCTCCCTTGCATGGGAGAAATGCATAAAAGCAGACATGTGAATAAAGCTGACAGTTGACTCCCAGACTATGTGTCGTCTAGTCCTTGGGGAGGTGGATTATGCTGTGTTCCTGTGATTTTGTATGCTGAATCTTTGTTCCCAGCGGAGAGCTATTGGATTAACCCCTGCTCCTCCGCTACACTGGGGTCACTGGCCTGCGCTGTCAATAGTCAATAAAGCTCGGCCTTCCTGGCAGTGGTTGGAAAAGGGATGCCCCTGAGTCTTAGTTCCACTGAAATTTTAGGAATAGTCCATGATATCAGGGACCTGGGGTAGAGGGGGTGAGGGATACTTCTGGGGGCCGTGGCCTGGCTGGAGTGCTGGGTTCATCTTCCAAGGGCAGGTCATGGATAGGAATGGATTCTTGTGACGTCCTGAAAAAGGAATAATGATTAATATAGTAGGGGGTTGGGAAGGAAGAACAAAACCTTCACAGAACTGGCTAGCTAACTAGTACTGAGGCGAAAAACGTAACTATAGCCAAGTGACAGGTGAGGCCCTGCTAATGCCAAGTGGCGATGAGAGGCTCTAACTATGATTTGGACCGAGGGGATTCGTGGCCACGATACGTGGTGGCAGGATGTTGGCCTCTCAATGACAATAAGAGATTCAAATACGTATGGCCGTGACCTGTGAAGCCCTGGCTGTAGCCCTAAATGAGGGCGAGCAAGGCGGCTAGCAATGATTTTGGCTGTGGGGCAAAACCTCTGTGGAGAGGTGGGGTGTAGGCCTCGTGGGACTGGTTAAATTACTTTGGGTTGCTAAGGCCCGCACCTATCCCTGTATGCCAGTTCTCTATTCCTGATGGGGCTTGTGTCATAACGAGGTGTACCGAAGACATGTCGATACTAACCTTGATGATTTGGCTTTCAGCTTATTGTGTGATGCAATAGTTTGTAGATTAGTATTGCCTCAAAAGAGTATACTGGTCCAGCCAAGGTATCCTAGGGGTAAGATAGATGCTCGTGAGCCTTGAGCATGCCACTGGTATGTTCAATGTACGTAAAAGTGGCCAAACGTATAGAAAAAGGTGTGTAAAAATACTACTGACCTGAATGTTGGTCCATACATACAGACAAGCCCCTAATTACCATTTTTTTGGGAACGTAATGAAGGAAGGCTGAGTGAGGCCTTGAGGAGAAATCGTATTCGTATTGAGTAAGATTATAATACCTGGTACTAAATGACAGGATACAAGGTTGGCAGTTGGTAGTTGAAGCGTAGTAAAGCGAAGAGTCTGAAATAATGACACAGGGCTAGGCAATAAACGTAGAAACAACAAGACAAGTGATGCACAGTCGTTATATTTTTTTTTGTAATTCTTTATTTTTCAAGTGGCAGAATTGACAAGCACATGAGTGTTGTGCAAAGGTAATGCATGGGCTTATGCAAAAGCCAAAGTTCAAACATTTCAACAGTACATCATTATACAGAAAAGTTTGTAGAGAAAGGGTTGTTGTCTGGTGGTGCATCTTTAGTTTCTTTCTATGCAGTTCTGTTCTGTCAAGTTTTTAAACAATTGACAAAGCTAAACAAGTTTGAATGCAATTGTAGGTAGCATTGGAACAGCAAAAGAAGCAGAAATTGAAGGTTAGAAAAATAAGGAAAAATTTAATTATAAATAACATTAAGGATGAAGTGTGGTAGAGAGGCTCCATCTGTTGGAGTCTTCAATGGGGTTGTAGGGGGGCATGGGGGATTGTATAGGCGTTCCTGACCTGTGGTGTGCGGCCTTTTGGTGTTGTGCAGATTTCCACGCTTCTTTCATAATTATGATTATGATTATGGTCCCTATGGGCTATATGTGTTTATGTGTCTTTTTCATGGTTGGTTACCTGTCTAATAATTCTACTGTCGATTCGATCCTTCCTTTGTGTTGGGTTATTGGGGCTGGGTTCAGGTTGGGATTTTGGGAGGGGAGGGTGGTTTTAGTTTGATTTGTGAATCGTGGTGCTAGGCCTTGACTCTCTTGGGGTCTTAGTTTCTTAAGTGGCTGTGGTGGGTTCCATGAGCCACAGGTCCCATATTTTGTTACAATGTGTTGTGGTGTTGTGAATGAGTGCTGATAAACTATCCATTGACCTAGCTTCATTCATTTTTTTCTTTATGTCGGTGATTGACGGGACTGTAGGTGAACCCCAGTGGGTGGGTATGGCTCTTCTGGTGGACAAGGCTAGTTTGGCTAGTAGTTTGTTGTGAGCCCATGGTGTGCCTTCTAGCGGTTTGGATAGTAGCCATAGCCATGGGTCCCTTGGGATGGGGTTGTGTAGGACCCGTGAGGCCAAGGCCACTATGTCACAGTATAAGGGGGGTGGAGACGGGGGGAGGGGCAAGCTCAGAACAGAGAAGCTGTGTAATGTTGAAAATTCACAAAATATACAAGGAACGCATAATATTAAATGTATGCTTACTAATGCAAGGAGCCTAAATAACAAAATGGGGGAACTAGAGGCATTAGCATACACTAAACAATATGATATAATAGGCATAACTGAAACATGGTGGGATGAGACACATGACTGGGCAGCTAACTTAAATGGGTACATGTTATTTAGGAAGGATAGGAAATAACAAGAAGGATGGTGGGGTATGTTTGTATGTCAACCATGATTTAAAGCCAAATGTTAAGCAAATGGAATGCGAGGAGGATAATGTGGAAGCTTTATGGGTAAATATCTGCTTGGGGGAAAAGAAGGGAAACCAACTATTGGTTGGGATATGTTATAAACCACCTAATGTTAATATTGACGAGTAACAACAGTTGTTTGAGCAAATTGAGAAAGCTGCAAATCTGGGTAACACTTTAATTATTGGAGATTTTAATTACCCGGATATAAACTGGGACAGAGGGACTAGTACCTCAGCAAAGGGAATTAGGTTTTTAAACTTGTTAAATGACACCTTCATGTCACAACTTGTACAAGTACCAACTAGAATGGATGCTTGTCTGGACCTGGTTTTAACAAACAATGTTCATCTTTTGACCAACATTCAAGTAGGTGAGCACTTGGGAAATAGTGATCACAATAAATTCTAAAAAAACACCAAAATGAAAGTGTAGGTACACTAAAAACTGAAACGGGGGTGTTAGTTAATGAAGACCAGGAAAAGGCAGGAATTTTAAATAACTATTTCTCCTCCGTATACATTAAGGAAGAACCCATGGCAATAGATGTGCAAATGATTGCTACTAAAAACTTGCAGAATAATTGTAATTGGTTAACTCAAGACAAGGTCCTGCAGCAACTAAAGAAAGTTAATATAAACAAAGCTCCAGGGCCTGACGGTATCCATCCACATGTACTTAAGGAACTAAGTGCAGAAATAAGTGAACCTCTGTTTTTAATCTTTCAAGATTCTTTTCTTTCAGGAAGTGTTCCGGAGGATTGGAGGAAGGCAGATGTGGTTCCTATATTCAAAAAGGGTTCAAAATCCTTGCCTGGAAATTATAGACCTGTGAGCTTAACTTCTGTGGCTGGTAAAATATTTGAAAGGTTATTAAGGGATAATATTCAAGAATTCCTTGAGAAGAACATGGTTATCAGCAAAAATCAGCACGGTTTTATGAAGCACAGGTCATGTCAAACTAACTTGATTGCGTTCTACGAAGAAATAAGTAGAAGTATAGATCAGGGTGTTGCCGTGGATGTGATCTATTTGGATTTTGCCAAGGCATTTGATACAGTTCCACACAATAGATTAGTGTTCAAACTCAAGGAAATCGGTCTAGATGAAAATGCTTGTTCTTGGGTAGAACATTAGCTTAAAAACAGAGTACAAAGAGTTGTCATTAATGGTAAATTTTCAAGCTGGACAGAGGTGGCAAGTGGTGTCCCTCAGGGGTCTGTTCTGGGACCCCTTCTATTTAACATGTTTATAAATGATCTTGAAGACCGCATTGAAAGTCATGTTTCAGTGTTTGCAGATGACACAAAACTTTGTAAAACAATACAATGTGAGCAAGATATTACTTTGCTGCAGAGGGATTTAGATAGACTGGGGGACTGGGCACTCAAATGGCAGATGAAATTTAATGTTGAAAAATGCAAAGTTATGCACTTCGGCGTAAAGAATACACAAGCAACGTATACCCTTAATGGAAGCGAATTAGGGATAACAACACATGAAAAGGACTTGGGAATTGTTAAAGACAACAAACTATGCAACAATGTGCAATGTCAATCAGCAGTGGCCAAGGCCAGTAAGGTATTGTCATGCATGAAAAAGGGCATTCATTCTCGGGACAAGAATATAATTTTGCCTCTTTATAAATCACTGGTAAGACCCCATATTGAATATGCTGTGCAATTTTGGGCACCTGTTCTAAAGAAGGATATTATGGCACTAGAAAAAGTGCAGAGGCGGGCTACAAAATTAATAAAAGGAATGGAACATATCAGCTATGAAGAAAGGTTAACAAATTTAAACCTATTTAGTTTAGAAAAACGTTGCCTGAGAGAGGATATGATAACATTATACAAATATATTCGGGGCCAATACAAACCATTGTGTGGAAATCTATTCACAAACCGGACTTTACATAGGACACGAGGCCATGCGTTTAGACTGGAAGAAAGAAGATTTCGTCTAAGGCAAAGGAAAGGTTTTTTTACTGTAAGAACAATCAGGATGTGGAATTCTCTGCCTGAAGAAGTGGTTTTATCAGAGTCCATACAGATGTTCAAACGGCTACTAGATGCATACTTGCAAGAACAGAATATTCAAGGATATAATCTTTCAATGTAGGGTAATAACTGCTTGATCCAAGGATAAATCTGACTGCCATTCTGGGGTCAAGAAGGAATTTTTTTCCTAGCTTGTTGCAAAATTGTGCTTCAAACTGGTTTTTTTTGCCTTCTTTTGGATCAACAGCAAAAAACAAATGTGAGGTAAGCTGAACTTGATGGACGCAAGTCTCTTTTCAGCTATGTAACTATGTAACTATGTAACTATGTCTGTCCAAATTTGTGTTATGTGTGGGCATTCCAACCATAGGTGGTGGTATGTCCCCTTTTGACCGCACCCTTTCCAGCATCTATCCGAAGTGGAAAGTCCCTTTTGCTTGAGTTTTAGCGGAGTGATGTACCAGTGCATAAGGGTTTTGTATGCCTGCTCTTTGTGGGTCACGCATATCGTTACCGTTGCCGTGGCTTCCCAGATTGCAGTCCAGTCTGTGGGATCGGTGGGGGGTCCTAAGTCCCATTCCCATGCTGAGACATATCCTAACGGTTGGGTTTTTGTCACCCTGTGTAGTTGGGTATATGTTGTAGAAATCTGGCTTTTTTATATAGGGGCATGGATACATGATTGTTCGAAGGCGGTGAGGGGCGTAAGTCTGGCTTGTTTATATGTAGGATTTTCCAGTAGGTTTTTGATTTGCAGATAGCGGAAGAAGTAGTGTGTGGTGAGTGGCCTAGTTTGTGGTAAGTCCGCGAACGCAATGATTTTTTGGTTCTGAAAAAATTGATACGTCCTGATTAAGTCATTGTCTTTTGGGGTCATGTGTGAAGTGTTCGTTTCTCAAGATTGGTGTCATGGGTGAAGGGTCTGACGTGAGTGCATGTTTTATGGAGCGTTTGTTCCAGAGAGTTATAGAAGTATCGAGTGCCGGTCTGGTTTGTGGGAGTTGTGGTCTTGCTCGCTTTGGTACCCAGATAAAAAGGGAAGGGAAATCCTGGCCAAACAGGTCGTGTTCGAGGTCTGCCCATCTCTTTAACCCTATGGGGGCATGTAGTGCCTGAATCTGCGCTAGTTGTGCTGCGTGGAAGTAGTGGAGGAAGTGGGGTAGGCCGAGGTCCCCTGATCTTGTTGGGAGATAGAGGATGTCCCTCCTTATCCTAGCGCGCCTGTTTGCCCATATGGAGCGGTCAATTTGTGTTTGTAGTAGTTTAAAGTCTTTGGCTGCTACTTGGACTGGTAGCGTTTGGTATAGGTATAAAAATCTTGGTAAGAGGTTCATCTTTATGCATGCCACCCTTCCTAGCCAGGAGATAGAGTGGGATTCCCAAATTTTAAGGTTGGCCTTCGCTCTTTGTAGTAGGGGGAAATAGTTGAGTCGGTATGTCTGGGAGACGTCTGCTGGTAGGTCGACACCCAGATAATGTATGTGCATGGGGTTGAAGTGGAATAGGTAGTTAGTTTTTAGTGCTTTAAGGTCCTCTTGAGGGATTTGCACTGGCAGCGCTTCTGTTTTATCCAGGTTGAGGCGGTAGCCTGAAACCTGTGAATATTTGTTTATGGCACGCAATAGTGGCGGGAGCGAGGTTAGTTGGATCTGTAATGGTGAGGAGTAGGTCATCTGCATACCCCGCCACTTTATATTCTTCCCTTATAATGTGTACGCCCGCTATTATTGGGTCCATACGTAGGGCTTAAAGTAGGGGTTCCAATGAGAGGGCAAACAGGAGCGGGCAGCCCTGTCTTGTCCCATTAAAGATGCGGAATGAGGGAAGTTGGGTGTTCGGGATTAAAAGATTCGCCTCTGGTGCTGAGTATAGGGTTTTGAGCGCGTTTAGGATTGGGTCGGGGAACCGGAATTTGTGTAGGGTAGCGAAGAGAAAAAGGCCATAGCAGTCGGTCAAATGCCTTTTCGGCGTCTACGGTCTAGAGATAGGAAAATGGTGGGGATCCGTCGGTGTGATGTCGCCCATAGAAGGTCAAAGGTCCATCTGATGTTGTCATATGCCTGTCTGGAGGGTATAAAGCCAACTTGGTCTGGGTGTATAAGTTTATGTACGTGGGGGTTTATTCTGTCTGCGAGTAGCTTCGTGAGTAACTTTATGTCTACGTTCAACAGTGAAATCGGTCTATAGTGGCTCGGGTCTAGGTGGGTTTTGTTTGGTTTGGGGAGAAGGCACATGTTCGCTCTGAGGATGTCAGGGGGTATGGGATTTCTTTGAGTTAAAAAGGTTGCAGAGGTGTGGGAGGAGTGTGGCTGGGAACGTTTTGTAATATAGTCCCGTGAAGCCATCTGGTCCTGGGCTCTTATTGGGTTTGGTGTTTTTGATGGTTTTGGCGATTTCTTCGATGGTGATTGGTTCGCTTATTTTGGAGATGGCTTCCGTCTTTAGGACCGGTAGGGGTATCTTCCCTAGGTATGTGTCTATTGATTGCCTGGTCTCTTCGGGATGTTGTCGAGAGTTGGGGCTATGGTCATATAGCGTGGAAAAGTATTTTTGGAAGACCTCGCCGATTTTTGTTGGTATGGAGTGTTTGGTGCCGTCTGGCGTTTGTATTACGTCTATTCATTTGTGATCAGTCCTGTGTTATAACTTTCGGGCTAGTAAGGTGTCGGCTTTATTCGATTTTTCGTAGTAGGTCTGTTTTGTCCATAGCATGGCTTTGGCCGCATCTCTAGTCATGAAGTCTTTAATTTTGTTTCGGCATCCTGTCATTTCCGTGAGAATGTCTTGTGTGGGGTTTCGTTTATGGCTTGTTTCTAGGGTCCTAAGGTTTGTGAGAGATTTCGCTAGGTCGGCTAGTTGAGTTTTTTTTTGTGTGATGCTAGGCTTATTATTTTGCCTCTTATGACTGCCTTAAGGGCTGCCCACAGTATGCCCGGTGAGGGCGCCGAGGGCGTGTTTAGTGTAAAGTAGTTTGTAAATTCTGTTCATATTGCTTCTGTCGTCAGCGGGTTGTATAGTAGTGTGGGATTAAGTTTCCAGGACCATGGTCTGGCTACGTCGGGGACCTTGATTGTTATTGTGATGTCTGCGTGGTCTGACCATGTGATGTTGCCTATGTTGGCCGTTTGGATCATGTGTGTGAGGGAGGGTGAAGTCAGAAAGAGGTCAATGCGGGAGTACGAGTTGTGTGGGTTGGAATAAAATGTGTAATCCCTAGTAGTCGGGTGGAGTAGTCGCCAGATGTCTACCAGTCTCTGTCGCAGCACAAAATCTTGCAAAAGTTTGTCGATATTGGTTGTGGGGTTTGGGAGTTTTCTTGTTCTGTCTATTGATGGTGACATCGTGGCATTGCAGTCTCCGCCTATGATTTTAAGGTGGCCTGGGGTTAGGGCTAGGTGGGCTTGGAAAGTATCCCAGAACTTTTTATCCGGGGTGTTTGGGGCGTATAGTGAGGTGATGGCATATTGGTTGTGTCCTGCCTGTCCCGTGAGTGTGATAAACCTGCCTTGTGGGTCTTTTATAATTTGTCTAGTGCTAAGTGGGCAAGTTTTCCGCATCAGAATAGCTACTCCGTTTTGTTTAGTTGTAGGGGAGTTTGCCGTATGACATTCCCGGTAGTGTCGGCTGATTAGAGGGAAAGGTTTGGCCTGTGTAAAATGGGTTTCTTGCAACAGAATTATGTCTGCGTTCGAGCGGTTTGCTCATCTCATTAGTCGGTGTCTCTTTGCTGGGTTATTAAGGCCCTTGCAATTAATGGAAATGCATGTCAATTTGGTGCTCATATTGTCCGGTCGTGTTTTTAGGTGGGTCTACTCCGAGGGCGTCTGTAGTGTTTAGTGGCCGCGTGCCTCGTTATGTATACGGGGGAATTGGGGGGAGAGGTTTGGGTGGGTCTGGGGTGGAAGGATTGGTTGTGTGCTGGTTAGCTGGTGGCCTATCATGCACTAGGGGAACTGAGCCCTTGGGTGTAGGGGGTCAGGGGTTTGCTTTTTAGATGAGGTAAGGGGGGGAGGTTCCTGGTTTGGGTTTTTCCCTGGTTTTATACCTAGGTTGCCAGGCCTGGAGGGGGCGGAGTTTGAGGGGGTATAGGTACCTGCGGTTGGGTGCGGTCCTATTCCTTTTCCCTCTTGGGGTGTCTGTTGTCCCGGTGATGGGGAGCAGGTGTGGTCATCTAGTAGAGGGGGGTTACTGTGGTTATGATGTATGTGGTAGGACAGAGCTGTCTGGAGGGGAGATAGGCCTTACCTCCCGTCCTCACCAAGCCATGTGTGTGTTACCTTGGTTGTGGTGTGTTGTCGGGTCGCTAGATACCGTTTGCTGGGTGTCACTGGGGGGGGGGCCATGATAGAGCCCGAGACAAAGAGGTGTGAGGCTTTCAGATATCTGTAAAGAGAATATGCATGTTATTAATTATCGCTACTGTTTATAGTTTGTTCCTGGGTCAGGGAGAGCCTGTGCTAGCAGGAGCCAGCGGGCCGTCCGTATGATGTCAGTGTTGTGTCTTAATAGTGGGCCATGTATGTAGGGTTGGCTGTTCCACCCCTGGATATTAGTAAATTTGAAGGTCAGTTAGTTGTTGGGGAGGGTACCTCTGCATGAGTGGTGTTTTTTTTTTGTTTTTTTAAACAATGGTGACAAAAAGAGTAAACGCTTTGTCCCATGTACATCAAGGTTATTTAACATTTTAGGGTGTGTCAGCCTACATTTTTTCCCCTTTTTTATGTAAAAACAATAGTAACAATAAGATTAAACGCTTTGTCCAGGGCACATCAAGGTTATTTAACACTTCAGGGTGTTTTGGAAAAAACAATGGTAACAATAGGAGTAAACGTTTTGTCCAAGGTACAGCAAGGTTATTTGACATTTTTTTTCCTGTCGTTTGGTGTGGTTCGTTTCTCGTAGTGGGGTCTGATGGCCTTATAGACTAGTTTATTAGTTGGGTTCCCATTAGTGTCTGGTCCCCCTAGGTTTGCTGGCGATTTGGCCCCGTTTCACCACTTAGGGTGGTCCCTATACACTAGTGGCAGTGTGGGAACAGTGCTGACAAACACTAATTCCATAAGATATTAAGGCAGCTTAAGAGTTCAAGGCATAGCAGCCTGTGACATTTTAAGTTTCTAGCAGTTTGTATTATTTTCTGTAGTGGGAATCTGGTGGCTGCGTGGTCCAGAGCATAAGGAGGGTCTATCTGCCGTGTTGGTGGATTGGACCTTTACCTTCTAATAGTGCTCAGTGTGAGCTTAGTAGCAGTGCCGGTCAGACCAGCGCCACTATAGTGGCAAACTTTAATAATAGGAGGGGTCAAGGGTACCTTGTGGTGTAGGTGGTGTAGGCCCTATCCTGTAGTCTTGAATGATCTTTGCATAGAGTTGTCAGTAAGCTAACCTCCATGTTAACATTATAACAGTAACATTTGTAAACATTAAAATATTTCAGGGTATACAGGCCTGAGTTATTGTTTAGTTTTCCGCGGTAATCTCCGCTGATCAGAGAGAGAGTCCAGCGGCCACGAGGGCCGGGTTCAGGTGATAGGTCCCAGTTGTTGGGGGGGTCTTTTCTTGGCTTGTTGACGGGGTGTTTGTTGGTTGTGGTCGGTGTTGTGGGCCTCCCTAGGTTCGTTGTTGTTGCGTCGGTCCCTTGCTGGAACCCCAGTGGTAAGCTGTAGCCCCAAGGTCGCTGCAAATTCTTCCATTTCAGCCGGGTAGTGTAGAACATGTTCTTGGTCTCCTGTGCGGACTTAAAGTTTAAATGGATGGACCCACCTGTATCTCAGTCCTTTTTGGGCCAGTGCTGTGGTGAGGGCTTTTAAGTCCCTTCGTTTCCTCAGCGTGGTTGGAGCTAGGTCCTGCAAGAAGGCCAACGTGTGGGTCCCATGCTTTGATTGCGTGGTTCTGGCCACCGCCATAAGCTTTTCTTTAGTGGCAAAATGTAACAGGCGGATGATGATGTCCCTTGGGACTGATGGGTTGAGGGCCAGGGGCCGCAGGGCCCTGTGTGCCCTATCTAACTCCCTCTCTTGGTCTGAGGAGTTTGGGAGCACGGACCGGAATATTTCCTGTAGCGTGGGCAATATGGCGTCCGTGTCTACTGATTCTGGCATCAGTCCGTGTCTACTGATTCTTATCCTAATGTTATTTCTGCGAGAACGGTTGTTCAAGTCTTCCAGGCTATCTTCTAGAAATTGTACCTTATCACTTAGGTAGAAGATGTCTTGGTTGTGCTGGATAGTGTTCGCTTTAATTTGCGTTATGTCAGCTTCCGCCTGGGATGTGCGGTTGTTTAGGGTCTCAATTTCCCCTTTTGAGACCTGATATGTGCCGCTCCAGTTCTGCGGCCGTGTGCGCCTTTATGTCTGCCAAGGCGTCTTGTAACATCTGGCGGAGGTCAGTTTTGGTAAGTGGTTCTTGTATTATTAAGTAGTTAGTAGTTGTTTCTTTGTCTGGGGCCTCACTGTCGTCAGAGTCTGCCCCGGATTCCTGAGCCTCCTGGCTTAAAGACGGCCGCCCCTGTTCCCTGGTGGCGCGGAACATGGAAGTCACTGATAGTGGGGTTTCTTTTTTCTTTGTTTCCCCCATAGTTATGTTGGGTAGGGGGCTTTGTGGGTGTCGGGTAAAAGGTGCTGATGTTGGCAGATTAAGGCTCGTGGACGGGAGAGCTCAGGTTTCACACGTCCTGCTCCATTGGTGTTCAGGCTCCGCCCCTCATCGTTATATTTTTTTATGCAAAAAAAAGTGTGTGTGTGTGAGTACGTAGTGATGGACCTGACCATTGGTCCGTGGGGAAGCTTATAGATTACCCACCCGGGGCCTGGTGGGTGGTGCGTAACCCGTGGAGGCTGAATGAGGCCTCGGGGGCAAGATAAACATAACGAGTAAAACAACAATACCTGATACAGTAGGACAGGATGCCAGGTTGACACTCCCTGAAGTCTACTTGTTGAATATGGAGGAGCCAAAAATCATGACTTAGAGCTAAGTACCATACAAGAAAAATTGCTGAGAGATATCATGAGTGACCGGTCAGACCTTCGGCCAGTAATTGCATTTGTATCTGAATCGTGGTGGTTAATTTGGGAGAATGATGTGAGAGGTGTACGTGTTTAGACTCTATTAACTGAAAATATTAAACGTATTGGTCTCATGCCCAAGAAGTGCAAGGATGTCAGAGCCAGTGCTGGGGCCTGCTGGATTAGGACCTTAATTATTACAAATAGGAAAATGAAAGCATGCAGCAGCATATAGCCATGTGAAAGGTTTATAAATGGTAACCATAGATCTGCTGCTTTAACCAAAAGACTAAGTGAATAGCTAAGTGAAAGACCCCTTATAGTGTACGGATGTACATGAAGCAGTGAAACACCACTAATTCAGTGATTAGATCGTTCATATGAACGAACGGTATAGCAGGATACTACACAATGCAAAAAAAGTTTAATGTGAGCCGTGCGGGCAGAGTGTTCGACAAAAATTGAACGAAAAAACGTGTGTACTGCATGAATACATACAAGGCAGCGGTCGGCTAGTAACCGCTCGAACGGATGAACGAAATGAAAGTATGACCAGCAGTCTGCACAAATGGGTAAATATGCACGAACAGAATGGAATGAATAAGGGAGCCTACCCCCATGTTTTTAGGCCCGAACATGGGAAATAGCCGAAAGCTATTTCCCACGTGATGCTTATGTGTCTTGTGAACGGAAGACGGTACCGTGACTGGGGAGAAAAGCCGGGTGGAAGGACCGGAGGTAGTAGGCAGAGGACCGGAAGTGCTGGTTGCTAAGGTGAGTCAATCAGCTTGAACGGCAGAGGTGAGTAGGGGTTGAGAGTTTAAATAAGGGCCATAACTCCTCCCACAAATTCAGGCCTAATGGCCTTTTATAATAAAGAACAAGAGTGTATGTCTGTTGGACGAAAGTCACATTGGGCACACAGAGAGGTTGCTTGTTAAATAAACTATGAAGACATATAATAAAGTAAATTGTTATTAATTAAATGGAAGAAAAAAACATATACACTTAAAAAGAGCTATAAAGAGATATAGACTCTATAGTAACCACCCAGGGGGAAATATGATATAGACGGGACACAGAGCATAATAAACTATCAAATAAGATGAAGAGCAAAAAATTAGTACATAGATAAGATGGTAGCTCCTATCCTCTTACAAAATATTGACTATAGATGAACCTGTGGTATACGAAAACGGTAGTCAAGAGTCCTTATAAAGACTATGTATAGTTCAAATATCCCAATGGACGCCGAAGAATAGAGACAATTCCTTGGTTATAGAGAATAATATCCTGTATTGTGGACCCCATGTTTAAATCCAATATTCTATCCAGGAACAGAGTCTCTTGTAATCAGTAAGTCTACAGAGTAGAGCAGTATTTAGGAAAGCTGTACGTTATAATGCAGTAATGAATTGCTATTATAATGCAGCAGGTCCCTCAACATATATATAGAATTAATTCGTATTTATAGGTGGCTGTAAATTCTAAGGCAATGATAAACTGCTATTAGAATGCAGCGAATCCCTACATTATAATATATAGACAAAAGGCTAGATAGAAAAGACAGGAAAAGCTGTAAATAGACGTGAACTGAATATACAGGTTCCCTATGTAATACAAGGAGTCTGATGGAAGGATTTACCTCCTACAAAGAGTAGCTTGAGTATCACAAGTGCCTAACTCAGCATCCGATGATAAGTGTTAGGATATTCAAATACTAGAGAGATTAGCTACAGAGTAATTATCCTGAATAAAGCACTTTGCCTCCTCCGTCCACTGAACCGTATGGAGACAGTCTGTAACTATGAGGCTTGCTTACTAGAAAATACTTCCGAACAAAGATCTACTCTATTATTAGAAGAACTTGCTAAACGTAATTCTGCCTGCATGAAGCACTAAATCTCATCCATCCACTGAACCATACTGGGACAGTCTATATCTATGAGGCTTGCTTGCAAAAATAACTTCCAGACGGAGATCTACTAGCACTACCAATAAACGGTATAAACCAAATGGGCATCATAGTTCTAAATTCCCCCAGTGAAAAAATAAACTTATAAACCCATAATAGTGCAAAAGTGCTAAAACTCGTGCTGTGCTAAAAGAAAAAGTGAGCCAACGCGCGTTTCAGCGCTACTAGAGCGCCTCCAACCAGGGCCTTTTAACATATAGAAAAATAAGAAAAAATACCGGCACTCTTGGCTTTCTAAAGATTCCTTATTTATTGACAGTTAATCCAGGTCAACGTTTCAGCTCCTGATCGGAGCTTTCATCAGAACACACAAACAAATATACTGCACAGTAAACAAAATATATATATAATAACCACCCCTCCTGGGTGGAATGTTTATTCCTCATTCTAGGGTCCTCTACCAGAGGCCTGGAATTTTGAGGGGTTCTGCGCAGTATTTTAGCTGTTCCTAGAACTGCATTCTTGTGGACAGCGATCTCAGATGTCCCACCTGGAATCTGTTGAAGCCACTCCCCCAACTTGGGAGTGACAGCCTGAGTGCTCCTATCACAACTCAGACTACTACTGCCTTCACTTTCCACATACTCTCTAGTTCTTCTTTCAGTCCTTGGTATTTGTCCACCTTCTCATGTTCCTTCATCATGATTTTATAGTCACTGGGTAATGCCACATCCACCACAACTGCAGTCTTTCATTCCTTGTCTACCACCACGATGTCTTTTTGGTTGGCCAGCACTTGCTTGTCTGTCTGGATCTTGAAGTCCCACAAGATCTTAGCCCTGTCATTTTCACAATAATTTCATTCTAACTGTATTTTGATATGAGATATATTTAAGGCCTTGGCCTGTAGTTGTGGGAAGGGTTTGAATCCCCTTTAAAAGGGCTGCCAATCATCTCTAACCTTACCGTTGATGGTCTGGCAAGTTTGAGAGGAGTACTTCCGGGTTTCTTACCTGCTTTCACTCGTGGTCCTGGTTCCATGGCTCCTGTTCTACGTTTACCTGACCATGCCCCCCGACCGCGATCTGCAGTGGGCGAATGGCGCTGACCACGTGAGTGGCAAAAACGGCTAGGACGTTCTATGCCGTCCGCCGGCGTTTAGCGTCAGCCTCTTAAGGACGGCATAGAACGCCCACCATCCTTAAGGGGTTAATATTTATCTATAAATAAATAAAAATAATAAAAAACATAAATTGGTGGCAATATAACTTTAAGAGAGAATGCTGTTAATAAATGTGTTGTATCTGTCTCTTTAATACTTACAATCCCCCTTTTTTTCTTTACTTTTTCTGTTTAGCACAGTCTACTTATTGACATTGACGGATGGCTGGCATGCAGCCTGGAGACAATGATGTGTGTGCTACTGTCAGAGTCTAGGGTAATTTGTAGAAAATGCCCAGTCTGAGCACATACCTCAAAAAAATTTATTCTGCTCCAAGAACTATTGGATATCATCCCTTCACTTGTGCTGAAGGACATCATAGGGTAGAAGTTTGTGGTTAATGCAGCGAGGCGATGACCAGAAGCATGCACCACCTGGTAATCACAAAAACCATGAGTATGTGATTTTGTCTGTATGCATGTGTGTTTTGGTATGTGACACTGTGTAATTGTGTGTCTATGTAGGCATATGTGTGATTGTGTTGCTATTAATATATGTATTATTATTATTGGCATTTATATAGCTCCAACCTATTCCACAGTGCTGTACAATATTATAAAGGTGGAAATTTAACAAGAAATCAGAAAAATACAAAATGTTACCAAATGTTACCGGGACAATAGGTTAATGAGGACCATGCTCACACATAACTGTACACCCTGTTCCAAATTATTATTCAAATTCTATTTAAGTGTCTCAAAGATTAAATATTTTGTTTTTGAGTTTACTCATGGATGGCATTATGTAATTTTGATCACTGAAAACAATATCAGACACCTGTGATAATTAGATTGTCAGGTGAGCCCAATTTAAGGAAAAACTACTAAAGGAGGGTATTCCACATTATTAAGCAGAGCACCATTTTCATGCAATATGGGGAAGAAAAAGGATCTCTTTGCTGCCGAAAAGAAATAATTCAATGCTTTGGATGAGGTATGAAAACATTAGATATTTCACGAAAACTTAAGCGTGATCATCGTACTATTAAGAGATTTGTGTCAGGAGCTTGAAGAAGTCTAACAGACGAAATTCGTTGAGATGCTACGAGAGCTCTGTATTGGTGGTACAGCAGTCTTTTATCTTATCAGTACACTGTTGGTTTTTGTGTTGGGTAGTGTCATTTAGCATTGTTTGTATTTTGACACTTTTTTGCACTGGCACTTTGTTATATCTGCACAGTCATCTGTATAGCCAAAGATGCTGTCCATAGGGCTATCGTGCCTTTTTTTGCTTTTTAACATTGTATTGCGATTTTGCACAATTTTGTATGCACTATTGCTTATGTTACTTGGATTTATTACTAATAAAGTGGATATTTCTCTCACATCTATTTGTCCCTCCTATCCATGGGAATCTCCAGATTGAATTTAACATTGTGATTGTGGCG